CAAACTACCCATCTGTCTTACTCTCCCAAAGTCCTGGGATTATAGGCATGAGCCACCGCACCTGGCCTAAATCTCCTTTTTTTTTTTTTTTTTTTTTTTCTTTTTCTTTCTTTTTTTTTTTGATGGCATTTTGATTCGGAAACATTCAGCAAATATTTTAGGCAATGTTCATAAGGGGAAGTGAAAAATCTTAACACAGGCTATCATAATAGAATAGTAATTTAATTTGAGGCTCATAAACCAACTAAAAAATGACTTTTATTTATGTGCATTCTGCTTGTTAGATGGCAGGAGACTATATAGACATGGAAGTAATCCAGAAAAGCATTTCATCTCTAGCCTGGGAGAACTGATTTGATCAATTTAAACAGGTAGCTAACTAAGTGTATCTCTAGTTTAGTACGTTGTTAGGCTGAAGTTTTTAGTTGCTCTCTGTGATTGTTAGGGCACTTTGTGTTCACTGCAAGTCACTCTTAGTGTTTTGAGGATTTCAAGGAAGTAAAAAATCTTCTTTTAAGCCTTGATACCATTAGCACATTCTTTGCTCATTATTTCCTGTAACATTCCTCCTCATCAGTGAGTCACCGATGGGCCTACTACACACAGGCCAATCTGTAAAGTGCAAAAAGTTATTTTATAGCTGAGAGCATTCATAGTATGGACTTTATTATGGTAGGAAGGCAAGTGCAAAACACAATTTAACTTTAGCTTGGTTCTTAGTTCTGGAAGGTTCTTTTAGGATTCCCAAGTTGAACATTTCCTGGTCAAATCCTGTGAGAAATCTGCCTCCTCTTCCTTACATCTGTTATATTTTCACCATCAGTCTCAGAGTCTTACTGGGGATCTTAGCTAGCTAGCTCAAATTCAAAGAACTAGATTCTTTACCTTAGTTCTTTCCCACATTTTGCCTTCCAGGTCCCCATTCTGCAAGAACTCCAAGACTAATTCTAAGTCTGTCTTCAATTTTCTTGTTTCTCCTGGCCACCAATTCCTAATGTCCCCCTCCACAAGTTGACCCGTTTTCTACTAACTAGATGTAAACATTTATCCTTCATCAGTGTTGGCTGTTATCCTCAAAACTCTGTCATCAATCACATCTTAACCCCTTATGCCCTATCAATGATACATAGACTACATTGGGTACAAAATATATTTAAGAATGTGTACACAAAGAGTATGGGATATGTTGCATGTGTTTCGACAAACATTATGTTTCTAGTCTTGAGTCATCCCTCGGGGTTCCAGGATACCTTCTTCTCCTGTGTATACCAAAGTCTGTGCATACTCAAGTCATGCAGTCAGCCCTGCAGAACCCACATACATAAAAAGTCAGCCTTCCCTGTACATGGGTTTCACATTCTGGATATACTGTATCTTTGATCTGTGCTTGGTTGAAAAAAAATTCATGTGTAAGTGAACCTGTACAGTTCAAACCTGTGTTGTTCAAGGGCCATCAGTGCTAATTTTAGAGACATGTCCTTAGAAGAAGCGTTGCAGATTTGATTTTTAAAATATAGGTATGCATAGTAAATGCCAAAGTCCTCTTGGTTTTACTTTAATCTCCAAGTTGTTCACTTTTAGTGTACAGAATTAGACGAGACCCATATGCTTGCCTAGAAAAAATAAGGATAATGGGTTCCCTGTAATCAAGGATACGAATTTCACATCCATCTGCTTAGTGGTTCCCAAGTGCTGATGTGGAGACTTGCTTCCAAATGACTACACAGAAGTCATCTGGGGTGCTTTTTCAGAAGTATTTGTTGCAAGGCCCCAATCTCAGATAAGCTGAATCAGTAGTTTTGGGGTAAGGCCTAGGTACTCACATTTTAAAAGTGATATAGGTAGTTTGAATGTATAGCCAGGATTGGAGAGCACTTAGAGAACTTGTAAGAAACGTTCTTCTAGCTCTCTGTTTCTGTGGTTTAAGTATCCAAGAAGCCTTCTTCTATCTGCTCCTGACTTTTCACAGGAGACAAGCAAGATGTTCACCTAGTATTATTTCCTATTGGACTTCTTCAGAGTATTTCCATACTAAATAATTGTTGTTATTGTTTTAGTGGTAATGATAACTTCTAAATTAGACTTAAGTTTGTAACAGTGTAGTTATAGCTGAAGAGTGCAAATTCAAGTTAAATAACAGCTAAAGCAGGGCCAAGGAATAATCTGATTGTCTTGAGGAGGTGGATCTGTGAGGTTTTCGTTTTTGCAGCCCTGTTTTGGTATGGCATGTGGAAATGGTCTACCAATAATAAGTCAATATGAGTTTAATTTAGCAGTTCCTCCTATGTGATGCTACAGAACATAGAGCTCCCTTTGGGGGCAGCTTTGAGAAGGCAATACAAGTGCAGATAGAGTAACAAATTGGATTTTGCAGTACAAGTAAGGAGGATTTAGAAATTCCAGTATTCTTAAAAGAATATTTGATTTGGATGGAGAGGAAGCTGACTTTTCTTAGAGGCTCCAAAGAATGATGGGAATGGTTAAGCAAACTAGATTCTTTATTTAGGTGACTTTTAATTGCATTACTTGGGATGTTTGCTATTTATTTACTTGATCTTTGCCCTTGTGCTAAAAGCAGGAAGGAAACCTATCTTAATAAAGACTTGGGATACTTTGGTTTAAAATGATGAAGAGGGATTAGAACTTTGGTATTATCTATCAGGGATTCAGGATTGGTAAATGGGGCAAGGGTCTCTATCCCTTAGATAGGGAAGTGCTGTTCTGTTAGTGAAATCTTGTTTTCATGATTCCCTCCACTCTGAAAGTTGGTGTTTTGTAGGAGCAATGTTAGACCCAAAATAAAAGAGTAGGAAGTGCAAACCTTGTGTAAATGGTGGATCTTTCTCTTTTTCTGTGTCTAACTTGCTATCCCTTAATTTAAAATCTTAAACTGTATCCATAGATTAGAGTTTACTTCAGTGCTTCTTTAAAATGCAAAATGTGACCCGGTTTTAAAACTTTTGATTTACATATTTGCAAGAACCCATTTATTGTAGGAAGCAAAGAACAGCTGTATCCTCCCTGGGGTTGGTTGTTTCAATCAAATCCTTTTAAAACACTAATTAGGAAGATTAGGATTTCATTTTTTTCCTTAACAACAGAAGATTCTTGGTATAAAGTTAATGAATACATACACTTCCCAGAGTGTTTTATCAGAAGGTATATCCTATGTATCTTCAAATCAATGGCACATTTCCAAATTTTAGAATTGCTTTATAGCTATATCGGGAAAAGGGAAAGACTGTTGTTCCAAAGGAAGTTATAAGGAGGTGAACCCATCACCAAGCTATATGGTGAGTATTTTTTCCACAAGGTATTGTAAAGCCAAGAACCATCACCAAAAGTAGGAAGAGGTAACTGTGGGTTAGCCACTCTGTATTAGTAGTCACAATGAAATGCAATGTCTTGGTAAAGGAGGACACCAAGGAAATCAATAATGATGGCACTCAAGTTTTTGAGAAGGTACTACAACAATATATGAGCATTAAAAATGCATTTGCATCCTACTGGAAGCCTAAATTATTTTTAAAAGCTCAGATGGAAAGCTCAAGATGTGTTTGTTCCATGTGAGTACTGGAAATGGGTGGGGATGCACAAGTAGCTTGCTGTCTCAGAGACTTCTACATGGAAAGTACAACTTTTAGAAATGGGGAAAGATCCAATAAGAGAGAATGGGGAAGCTTATAAGGTAAACAGGTTATGTACAAACTGTTTTTTAGGCTGTATAAAAAGAGAACTTGGTGAAATTCTTTAAAAGCAGTCATGAGTTTGGGAGTTACCTCAAAAGGAAGCGGTTTACTGGAGTAGTAGTGTGTCCATTTGGTGATCATGGTGCAAAGAACTTGATAAGAGAAAAACAGTATTTTCAGTGGCCTCTTTGTCTAATAAAGGAAGATAAAAGGGACATACTATCTCCATAATTGTCTTGCGACATTGATGACGAAGTGAAACTAGGTAAAACTGTAGTAAATGAACAGCTATTCAAGGTACAGTTGACAAATTAGACATAGAAAGCTCACCAGAACTAGATAAAATCCTCCTATATTTTGAAGGAACTCAAACTTTTTGATTAATAAAGCACTTAATAATGTGCTTTTGGCAGGGTTGGCAATCTTAAGTTTCTACTTGATCAGCAGTGTATTTTCAGCAATGTGATTTTAAGTAAGTATACAAAGTTTGTCTTGGGGTAAAATTTTAATTCAAAATTGTATAAGATATGGAATATTTCTGAATCAGGAAACGATAGTGAATTTATAAATCTAAGTCATGACTATACATTTGTTAACCTTAAAAGCCTATGCTTATTACAGATTTTATTGTAGTGAAGGTGTTAAATTATTCTGGATCTTCACTGTGAGACAGTTGTGAAAGTTCAGTGTATTACTATTTTCTCATTAGTACTATCAATTATTATGAAGGTATAGAATCTTAGTTCAGCCATTGATGATAACATTACATATAGGTAGGATTCCAACTAAAGAAAAACAAAGACCTCTAAAGCCTGGAGTCTTCTGTGGTCTGTATTATTTAGATGGCGGTTTGGAAGTATAGCTAAGATAATTGGGATATCCCAGTTGGAGAGAGAGGAGAGTTGAAAGGCAATATTGGCAGAATGTTAGAAACTTGAACAGTTCACCTTAGCTTAGGTTAGATGTTCTCACACTATTGGTACATTTCCATTAATGTGTAAACTGTGTATAATCAGTAGCTTTATTCCAAAAAGTACTTGATCTTTTGGCAGGCACTGGCTGTATTTGCTGTGTGAGAATGTGGTAGCAGGATCAGCTAAGCTCAGTTAGTGTGTGTGACCCACTAGAATATGGACTAGCTGCCTGTTTGGGATTATAATTGGACTAACAAAGCACATATGGAGAGTTAAAGGAGTTTGTATGCTTTTACAAAAATTTGTTATTGTCTTATGTGATTTATTTTCCTTCATTACAAAAATTTGATTCAAAACATTTGCGTTCTTTCTTTCTCTCTCTCCCCACTCCCCTTAGAATAACATAGCTGATCCAGAAGAACTGTTCACAAAATTAGAGCGCATTGGGAAAGGCTCATTTGGAGAAGTTTTCAAAGGAATTGATAACCGTACTCAGCAAGTGGTTGCTATTAAAATCATAGACCTTGAGGAAGCCGAAGATGAAATAGAAGACATTCAACAAGAAATAACTGTTTTGAGTCAGTGTGACAGCTCATATGTAACAAAATACTATGGGTCATATTTAAAGGTAATGTGTGTGTTGTATTATTTAAGTCATAAGGTATTTTCATTTGAAGTTTTTTTTCTATTTTTTGAAAGGCAATGTCTTAAATTAGGATTTGGCAGTCTGTGGCCTCTAGGCAGAGTCCAGCTCCATTTATACTGCCAAATAAACCATTGTTAGATTTAGCAGCTGTATCCTGAATGCATCCCAGTATTCAGCTGCACCCCTTTTCCACACCTGAACTTTTGATTTGATGGAGGAGCAGAAATGCAGCTGGTTCTGGAGACATATCCTTTGTCAGGAAAGAGCTATCCCCCTGGGTTTCCAGACATTATTCTCAATGATCTTGTCTGTCTCAACCTCAGAATTGATGGAACATGTAAGTATGTCACTTATTTCATTGAGTTATGGTGGTTATTTATGCATTTCTCTCTCCCATCAGGTTGTCAGCTCCTTCATGACAGGGAGTTTAGCTTAACCAGTCCTGGTACTTACATCACTTAGCACAGGGTTTGGCACATTTTAAGCACATGATAAATATTTGTTAAAATGGAATTAAGTGGAATAACATCTGCCTCCCCTTCTAAACAAAATTTGGATTTTTACTGGTTCCAGGATCATGGGATTAGCAAACACCTAAAGTTCCAGCAGATGGAGATGCTACTACATAGCAGAAAACTCGTTGATGAAATCCAATGTTCTTGGGTTCCAAAATTAGAAGTCAGGATTCATGTCTGTTGAAATGTGAACAATAAATAGCTGGGAAAAAAAGGCCCCACAAACTCTAGCTTAGTTTAGAGTTAAAATCATTTTAAAATTAAAATTGTTTATCCTTGTATTGAAGGTTGTCAAATGAAGGCCGTGCTACATCTTTGCCTTTCAGGATTTAAAAGGAGGGAAGTGTTTGTTGATACTGGTTGATCTATAGGCCAAAAAGAGTATATCTATAACTAATTAAGCTGTTGGCCTGCGTAAAAATTAATGATAATATTTTATGCTCTGCTGACCAATAAAACTTTGGATATCCATCTATACCTTTTCCAAATAACCTATCTTCAAGTTTACAGATTCTTTCTTCTGTTTGATCAATTCTGCTATTGATACTTTATTGCATTGTTTCGTTTCATTCATATTTTTCAGCTCTAAAATTTGAGTTTTTAAAATGACTTAATCTCCTTGTTAAATTTATCATTTTGTTAATTTTTTGTTTTCCTGATTTCACTTGTTTCTTTGTATTTTCTTGAAGTTTTCTGAGCTTCCTTGATACAATTATTTTAAATTATTTGTCGGGCAGTTTATAAATCTCCATTTATTTGGAGTCAGCTCCTGGGAAACTGTTGTGTTCTTTTGGTGCTGAGATGTCTCCTTGGTTTTTCATGTTTATTATTACCTTAGGTTGATGTCTCTGCAGTTGATAGAGCAATTGCCTCTTCCAGACATTACAGATTTCAATATGCAAAGACATTCTTCCTCTGTAGGACAGTGTGAGACCAATGGCTAGGTGGGTTGCAGTGGTTTTGGTCCCAGTGAGGGCATAAGAGCATAGTCTCTGTGCAGCTCTGTCAATTGAGATTAGTGTTAACAAAGATTGCAGGGATCCTCAGTGGTCAATACCTTGAGTGTCTAGAACAGTGGTGAGGGTTGTTTGAGGTGTTTGGTGGTGAGAGCTGCTAGGGTCCTCCCAATCTCTTTTTCTTCCACTAGAGAAATCATGGCTGACTAGATCCCTTTTGGCATTGGGTCTGGCTTGTGGGCCCACTTGAGGTGGCACTAGTGTCTAATGAGTGATGCCCATGGAGTGGCCAGAGCTAAGCTTCAAGCATAAGCATGTCTGGAGGGACATGCTCTGAGGCTTAAGCCAGTAGTGGTACCAATGTCCTAGGTACAAATACCCCCTATTGCTGCACAGAGCTATAGTGGCACTGAGGGTGGGATGAGGCCTAGCTCTTTGTAGTACCTGAGTTGGTGTCTGGAGCACAGACATGCTCAGAGGGACCTTGGCTCCAAAGCCTGGGATGTGAGCTAGCTTACTATTGCAGTAATTGGTGCCAGTGTCTGAGCTGTGGGTGGGCACAGTGCAACCACTTAGCTGGACTGGAGTCCAGAATACAGCCTAGCTTTCAGTGGTGGCTATGTGGGTGTCTTGAGCATAGGCACACTCAGAGAAACCTTGTTTCGGGGCACTGGGTATGAGCTAGCTCACTGTGGCAATGACTCCAGTGTCTGAGATATGGTTGAGCTCAGTGAAGACACAGAATCTGGGTCTGGAGTGTGGGCACTCATGGAACAGCCATGACTCAGAGGTCATGGCCTGCACCAGTTTTGAGAGTGGTGGCTTCCTCCATGTGGCTCAACAATGTCTTCTTGAGATGAGAGGGTTTTGTAGCCATGTCTCCCTCTCTGGGGTTCCTGAGCAGAAATGGCTGTTGGCTACCACAGTAGCAAGAGATGCCAGTGTCCTCTGCAGAGCAGATCACTGGGGACCAAATGGCTTGTACTGTATAGCGATACCAATAGCCTCCACCTTTCATCTTTGTTCCTAGACATCTCCTGGCCTCTCAGGTATGCTAATCTCATCAGTGATCCTTTCTGTGGAGATATTCTTTCTTTTTTGTTCCACTGTGTTGCTGCAGATTGTTAAATGGGTCCTTGAATCCTTCCAGGGTTACTTGGGTTTGTGGATAGCTGTCTGTATTTGGCTTTTTTTTTTTTTTTTTAAATATGTGTATGTGGAGGGAGGGGGTGATGAAAACTGGTATCTCCTTTGCCATCTTGGTGACTTTGTTATCACTTTCTTGATCTATCTGTATCTATCTGTATCTGTATATTAGTTAATACTGATATAGAAATTCATCACAAATTTCACTGTTTACAAAACCTGACTTATTCTAATATTAGATGTATATGGAATGAATCCATAATAGAATGAATCTTTAAGCAGCCAAACAGCCACTATGTATTATACACTGTTTTAGGTGCTGAAGATATAAAAATGAACAAACTCATTACTGTTGTCAAGGCACTCACAGTCCAGTATTGCATGGAAATGATGCAGATTTTATGATTAAAGTATGTACCAGGTATAGATGATGCACAAATAAGTAAGTAGTCACTTCTGTCCTTTTCAGGAGTGGCATGAATAAAAGGCCTCCAAAAGGAGGTGATAATGCTAGTAATTTCTATCCAATTTCAGCGTTTACTTCTAAGTATTAGCTGTTACTGTATTTTACTACATACATAATTATTTGGTCCTTTGTGTGATAATTTTGCTTTCATATTTGTTCCTAAAAAGCTAATTAAGCCCATCAGTTCTTTTTTAGCGATCTCATAAGTGATTATGCAGTCTCAATAGTTTTAGGTTCTCCTAATTCCCATACAATTCCTTGGCATTACACAGCCCCACGAATTTGTTGTTGAGTGAGAGAGAGAGTGTGTGTGTGTGTGTGTGTGTGTGTGTGAGCCCCGCGTGTGTTATTTGCTCATTCTGGTTTACTCTTCCTGGATTGAATCCTGGTAATTCCAGACCCACTCTAGGGCAAACCTGAACTCTTGCTACTTTAGGCATCTGTGACAGTACACTAATTTTGGTTGCTGACTTAAAATATTAAGTAAACCCTATTTAAAATGGCTATTCTATAATATATTGAAAATTGATACTGATATGGTTTGGCCATTTTATTGGTTGCTTATAGCCCTTATTTATTCATATTCAGTACTCTCATGGAAAATGATTTACAGCTCTATCTTATTTTCCTAAGAGTTCGTATAGGGTGTTTTCTAAGTAGCACAGTAGCATACATGTATTAGTCACCCAGTGTTTACTTAATCTTTAAATAATTAAAAACTAATTTTTATTTGTCCCCAATTTTTATTGTCAAATGTACTCAGACCAGCTAGTGCTACAAAACCATTGTCCAAGATAGCTTCTTAAAGGGTTAAATAGAATTATTTTTATCTCCTTCACCCATCATTAATTAAACTCTATGATGTAAAACACTACTTTGAAGAACATGTTGCTTCATGATAAAATTGTAGAAATGTGCAGCTGGCTTATGTTGATTATTTGTGTTCTGAATCTATTTAAAGTAAATAGATGTGTGTGTATATACATATGTCTCTCTACAAGACATGTATATATACACAGAGAAAGAAATATTCTATAATCTTATAATATTTTCATACTATTTATTTAAATCACTTTCTTAAATTGACCAACTCATTTATTTTCCATTTATATTACAACATAGTATGACTGTGTCGGTTTGTATTTTTTTTTTCTAAACTAAAATCGCATCAAATATAACAGGATTCTGTTTCATGTAGTCGAAGTAAGTCAAGGCCACATCCTCTTAGTACCATCAGAGAACTACATTATCAGTCAACTTACATACTTATTGTGGCCCATCGTTGCATTTCAGGTGACATGGAGGATTTCTGTGACTCAAATTAATTGAACAAACTAGGAAATGGGTTGTTCTTACACAGGATGTCATCCATAACTAAGACCTCTCTGTAAGAGGGAAGAAAAGTTTGTTACATTAGAGAGAAAATTATATGCTCTTTGAAATTGTATGCAGTTGTAGTGATTTCCGTGAGACATGCAAAAAATGTACTAGGTATTCATTTTGACTGAGCTCACTGTATAACTTCATTTTTAAAAACAGGAGTTAAAAACCAGACAAACACATCAGTATGACCACAGTGTTTTCCTTTAATTTCAGTTCACTGGGCAGATTTTCTTGACAAAGTTAGTCTTTATGAAGAGTGCTAAAATAAGCAAACCCTTCCCTTCTGATCTCATAATATTGGAATAATCTTTTATAATCTTTAAATATTTTTCTAGTTCAACATAAATCTTAAAATGACACTCACTCAGGCATTGAATAGAATTTGAATCATGCCTTTATTTGCTGCTGAAAATTGCCTTTAGATTTCTGTGTATGTCAAGGAAATACTGCCTCTCACCTACTATCACCAATATTTATGAAAAAAAATTGAGTGAAGTAAAATATTTCAGAATTGTCTGTACAGTTTTGTGGCCTTCTCATTATTTTTCACTGAAACTGTATGTGCTTACAGTCAGTGTATGTATGCTTAATGCCTCTGGAATATTCTTTTATCATTAACTTTTTTTTTTTTTGGAGTTCTCTTACAAAACTTGAAGAAAATTGAGGATGGAAAGTTTGTTCCTTCTTAAAATGTTCTTTTCTCAAAATAGCATTAGCTTTAAACTTAATGCACCTTTAAGAAGCCCATACTAGATTCAAGGCAACAGACGTTTATTTATTAAGTACCTACTATGTGTGTTCCTCTTCTTTGGCATATTGTGGTTAATCTCAACTACTTTGGTCTGACAATTTCTAAATTGATGTCTCTGGTTTCATCCTCTCTGCTAAGCCCCAGATATGTGTTTATAAGTTGCCTCATGTTAATAGCCTGCTTATCTGTGAGTACATCAAGTCCAGTAACCCTCAAACTAAGGAGGTAGCATTTCAACTAAATCTTGAGTATGATTTTGGTAGGGGTTGGGAGGTGAGAGGGGGATAGGGACACAGTATTCCAAGCTGGAAGAAAATAGCTCAGAAGTGGTAAATTTTCTAGCCATATTCTTGGCAAAATGATCTCTACTGTCACTTGCAGTTTTATAAAATCTTATGTGCTGTTTTTTTTTTTTTTTTTTTTTTTTTTTTTTTTTAATTGGGTAAAATATACTTAACACTAAATTTGCCATTTTAAGTGTACGGCTCTGGGGTGTTTTTTGGTTGGTTGGTTGGTTCTTTTTCGCTCTTTTTGTGACAGGGTCTCACTCTGTCTCCCAAGCTGGAATACAATGGTGCAATCTCGGCTCACTGCAGCCTCCACCTCCCAGATTCAGTTGATCATCCCACCTCAGACTCCTGAGTAGCTGGGACTACAGGCGTATGCCACCACACCCAGCTATTTTTTCGCACTTTTTGTAGAGATGAGGTCTCACTATGTTACCCAGGCTGCTCTCAGACTCCTGGATTCAAATAATCCTCCCACCTCAGCCTTCTAAAATACTGGGAATACAGATATGTTGTGCAACCCTCACCACCACTGATTTCCAGAACAAATAAGGATTCCTTATTTCAGATCTAGAAGTTGATTAGTTATAATTTTAATGCTTAATGGTATATACTACTATGTAAAATCACATTTTAAGCTTTCTATGAACACTTCTTAGTGACAGACAGTTGGCAAGTTTCTGTTTTGAATTAGTAGAAACAAAAAGGCACACATTGTTTTTAACTTGGAAAACAGGTCCTTTCATTCATGCAGAACTGCAAAATAGAAAGGCATGTTTTATAAGATTTTTCTTTTAAATATCAGGTGAATGAGAAGCTCTCTGGATTAATATGATAGAGTATAGTGCTTGTTAGAAACAAACTGTGGCAAAAGAAACAATTTATAACCTATCCACCATTTTAAGAACCACTTTTTTCTTCTCTTGAGAAAAGTATAAAGATACATCAGATTCCCAGTTCTCAGGATGCAAGTGCCTAAGTTTTATACACAAATACAAGTTATATGAACCTTTCCTGGAACTCCTCTTCCCTCACCAGTATTGTGGGAATTTATTTCCTCTATTTCCTAATGTAGACTTCACTGCTAACCAAGACTCTCAGCTTTCTGCTTGCAGTGCAAGCTGGACATCTATGGCAGGACAGAATAGGTGTCAAGATTAGTGGAGGAAGTGGTAGGGGAACACCGTTCCTCCTTCTATTACAAATTCTACATGGTGTCAGCATCTGGAAAAAAAGAATCATTTTGTTTGAATTAACTGAGCCCTCCCTTCGTGGTCCCTAACCCTAGGCCACACCCCATTCCCCACACTACACCATCAGTTCCACTCTGATTCTTCAACCCTCTCCTATCCCCTAAGCACTCATCATCATGTCACTAGAGTCCATTCTTTGCCTTGATAAAGTCACATCCTCATGGAGATGCTTGGAAATTTTAAATTGGACTCCTGATTACCTCCCAGGGATTTTTGAGTTTGAGGGCTACTGGCAGTAGCTTGAGAATCTTCACCCCACAGCTGGGGCTGTAAAGGTGAGAAATATGTTTCTGGCATCCCAAGTTGAAGCACAACACTGAATATATTTTTCCACTAGAAATATTGTTAAGATATAAATAGTAGTTAGTTTCTATGCTACTCTTCATTCTATACTACGAATGAATACATTTGTGTGAAATTGTCTTTGGGGAGGACTACCCCAGGAGCTTAGGCACTATTTTTATGGGAAAATGCTTGCTTTTAAAACTCCCAACATCTTACTTAAAAATCAACTTTTGAAACACAGTCCAGTTACTACTTGACTGCTGCCAGTATAGTAAAACCAACCATTCTACTTCCGGTCAGCTCTGTGGTCCCACAAAAATTCAGAGACTACCACTCATGAAATGGTATGGAGAGAGAGGCGTCCCTTGTATTTCAAGCTATAGCTAAAACAAAAAGGGTTTAATGGTTTACTCCAGTGTTTAACTGATGGAACTAAATAATGTGTGTGTGTGTACACCTGTTTTAGAATTTGTGTACATATATTCCTCCCAGGAGCACCATTTCCTCTTGTTCAGCTCACAGTGAGGTTAATTCCACCTGGAGTAATCATATGTTTTTAAAGCTACACTCTCCCTTTTTCTGATCCATTTACATCAGAGGTATAATGAACAATATTCTTTTTGAGTGCCATGTGTGTACCAAAAATGCCCATTAACCATAGCTGATAAACGTTGTGAAGCACATGAAAACAAATGAAACAAACAACGCAAATAAGGGAAAATATCCATTGTCCTCAAATTCAAACCTAAGATTTCTTCAAGCCCTCATTTACCTCCTCATTCTTTAATGTAGCTGTCTTTCCGATATCATCATTCAAGATAATTATTTAAAGCTTGGTTTTTTTCTGAGTTTTAGAAAAATTACTAATAGTTCAACAATAACAAACAGTACTTTTATTTGTTTAGCTATATCACAGGCAAAAAGATATGGGGGTAGTCTAAGCTCAGAACTTTAATTTGGAGTGTTCGATGGAAAAAATATATTCTGGGTTCCCAAGCAACCACTTTTAAATCTGCATTTCGGAATCTGTTCTTTATTTTTATTACTTTTTTAAATTTTTATTTTTTGTGGCTACAAAGAAGGTATAAATATTTATGGGATACATGAGCTATTTTGATACAGGCATACAATGTTTAATGATCACACTGGGGTACACTTACTATTTGTGTTACAAACAGTCCAATAATACTTTTCTAGTTATTTTTAAAAGTACAATTAAATTATTATCGACTATAGTCACTCTGTTGTGCTATCAAATACTAGATTATTTCTCTAACTGCTTTTTGTACCCATTAACCATTCCCAACTCACTCTCCCTACTGTCCTTCCCAGCCTCTGGTAACCATCCTTCTATTCTCTATCTCCAAGGGTTCAATTGTTTTAATTTTTAGTTCCCACAAATAAGTGAGAACATGCAAATAAAATCTGTGCTTTAGTAGGTGAGACTTTTAACATTTTTGCTAGTATGTTATTTTGGCTCAAATTTGTAATTATTGTTTCATGGCTTTACAGGGGTCTAAATTATGGATAATAATGGAATACCTGGGTGGCGGTTCAGCACTGGATCTTGTAAGTATTTTAAAATAATTACACACACATGCAAGTGTGTGCATATGCACATACCTTAATTTTTTTTAATTGAAGAGCAATGGCTTTGGGGCATGCTAAGTGGTTGCTTTAGTTAATATGTTCAAATTAAATTCTTTTTTCATGACCACTGCCTTATGTAGGTACAGATGTATTGCAAGTTTGAGCATGTTGCTGGCATTCTAAGACTATATAAGAAATGCAAATAGCTTAATAAAATAAAGTCCCCCAAATTAGAAGTGGATGTGTGTGTCCATTGCTGTCAGTTTTAAGTTTGATTTTTGCAAGCTTATCCCTGAAAAAACTGAGTGTCTTTAGGTTTTTAAAAAACAAATAGTTGGGATAACTGTCACTCAAAGTGATTGTTATGAACTGAATGGTTGTGTCCCGCCAAAATTCATGTGTGGAAATCCTAACCCCCAATGTGATGGTATTAGGAGGTGGGGACCTTGGGAAGTAATTAAGTCATGAAGGTGGAGTTCTCATGAATAAGATTAGTGCCCTTATAAAAGACACCCCAGAGAGCTCTCTGGCTTTCTTTCCACCATGGGAGGGTGCAGTAAGAAGAAGGCCTTCTGGAAACCAGGAAGAGTGCCTTTACCAGACACAAATCTGCCAGCCCCTTGATCTTGGACTTATTTCCCAGTCTTCAGAACTATGAGAAATAAATACTGTTTAAGCCACCCAGTCTGTGGTATTCTACTATAGCACCTGAATTGACTAAGATAGTGGTACTAGGGTTCTAACCAAGGTAGGCATGCAGATCCAGGTCTTTACAGAGTTCTCTCTGCCTCTCTACAGGTCATTTGGAAATGCAGTGTCATTTTGGGTTGTCACAATCACTTAAAAGTGCTCCTGTCATTTTAGTGGTCAAGGATCAGAATGCTAAAATCCTGCAGTGTGCAGGAAAATTCAATCCAATAAAGATGCCTTCACAGACAGAATGCCTTTGAGAAACAGTGGTTGTTCCCCAATTTAGTGTGATTCTATCAATGTTGAGTTTCTTTCCCTTCCTGAAAAATCTTTGTTAATATGACACTATATTTAAAATTCAGTATGACTTATGAGAGGCAACTTAGTGTAGTAGAATAACCACTAAGCTGGCCTAGGGTGTTGGAGATTATAGGTCTGGCTCTACGCACAACTAAATCTGTGCCTGTGAACCAGACACAAACTTCCTGAACTTGGATGTCCTATAAAACAAAGAAGCTGCACTAAGTTATTTCCAAGTTCCCTTTCATTTTTAATATTATGTGATTTTTTTTATTTGCATGCTTCTGCCTGCGAAATTATAGAGTGTGCTGTTTCTAAGAAAGTGTTTTGATTAAAGTAATCAAATAATGTTTTAATTCTTATTTTTTTAGGTGCAGATGAGTTTTCCTAACGGAAAGTGATTAAATATTTTTAAAAGGCTTTAACCCTGACTGCCAGTGACTCAAAGTTTCAAATAATTTTATGAACAGAAATGACCATAAGAGATTTTCTTTCCTTTAGTCAGAACCATATTTAAACCATTCTAAAGAAATGATAATTAAACTTGATGAAGAGTCTCATCTACTTCTAGGAATTCATGTCAGTTTAATCAGTTCTGAATCTGGTAATCTTTTCCTGTGTCTCATCTAATTCTTATATCTTAAAGCCTGAGTTCATTTTTTTTTCTCTCCTCTCTAGTGAGAGAACACCACTGATGTTTCTTTGTGTAATAATCCTTCATGCATGGAGTCAGGCTTCATTCTCCTCTTGAAGTTAAATGATCTCATTTCTATTTGTCTTGTCACAGAGCCATATTATTCAATAGTTTTTTCATTAGCTGTACAAGAAGCCTCTCAATTGTTTCATGATCCTCTTTCCATTTTTTGAATATTAAGCGCCCTTTCCAAATGTATCAGTTGCTTCATCTGGTCCCTCAGGGTGCTCACAATGTCTCTTCCCTGTTTTGGAACTATTGGCAAAGCTAGATCACTGTTCAGCAGTATCACTGATAGCAATGTTAAGCAGTGAGCACTGGCCTAACCCCAACTAACGACCCTAATCTGTGTCCCCTAGTAGCAGTTTGGGCAGTTTTATGAACTCTCCAAGTTAAATGATTATGATATCTTAATCTCATCCTGCTATTCTAATCTCTACTTAATAAAACAAATAGCCATTAGTATCAATTTCAATGAATGAAAAATGTTGTTAGTACTGTATTGGCTAAGAATCAAAAGACCTAGGTCTTAAACCCAGCGCTGACACTGACTGCCTGGCAAATATTGGGCAGCTCTTTAGCCTCTTTGTGTCTTAATTTCTTCACATGTCAAATGAAGAAATTGAATCAGTAATCTCTAATTTTGTGTTTCTACCTCTAAAATTCAATATTACTGTGATTTACTTAGAAGCCTCATTTAATTAGACTTCATAGGGAGAGCACATAATGAGAAAATGTGCTATTCCTTTTTAATGTATATTCCTATACAAATAAATGCTATCATTTGGGGAATCTAAGGCAGGATTAGGTTTAGAGGAAGGCTCTGCTACTAAGAACAAGAGGAAATAAAAGGGATATTTAGCGGAGAATGTTTCTCACTTTAAACTGGTACCAGGTGCCTAACTAATGGAATAACATAAGATTACAACTTGTCATTTGTGTCAACTTTATAGAGTGTCTACCTTGAGTCACTCCCATTCTTGAAGAACAATTTATTGTATGTGAGCAGACTTTGAGTATGTTGGGCATCATTTTATTGACTTTATTATGCTCCACTTCTTTCCAAAAAGAATTGTCGTGCCTTGCAACAAAAACACATATAGGAAGATGACTAGAATAAAACATGAGCGCCAAGGAAAAGAAACAATATGCTAACCATAAGAGAAGGCATAACATAGCAGACTGCATTAGGGACTGGATAAAAGTCAAAGAAGTGTGGGGAAGTTCCATGAGCCCACAAATATACAGTCTTTGAAAGAGTCAAGGTCCCTTTTTGCATATTCTCACTTAACAACAGAGGCAAATTGCACAAGGCAAATACACTGCTCTGGGACAGAGGTGTTATCTGTTAGCGACATGGAAGGTCTTCAGTCATTGGAGAAAAGTTCAAATGGAGAAAAGTTTCCTTGCCACAGAGTCTTTCTTCCCATCTTCCTCCAACACCCAGTTAATTGAGATTTTACTTTTATTGAATTTTAACATGAACCTAAAATATAGCAGATAAGCTCATGAATCTTTAGGATCCCCTTTTTGTTGTTTTTCACTCTCTCTCTCTTTTTTTTTTTTTTTTTTTGGGGGGGTGGGGGACGGAGTTTCGCTCTTGTTACCCAGGCTGGAGTGCAATGGCGCAATCTCGGCTCGCCGCAACCTCCGCCTCCTGGGTTCAGGCAATTCTCCTGCCTCAGCCTCCTGAGTAGCTGGGATTACAGGCACGCGCCACCATGCCTAGCTGATTTTTTGTACTTTTAGTAGAGACGGGGTTTCACCGTGTTGACCAGGATGGTCTCAATCTCTTGACCTCGTGATCCACCCGCCTCAGCCTCCCAAAGTGCTGGGATTACAGGCGTGAGCCACCACGCCCGGCCCCTTTTTGTTGTTTTTACTTAAATATTTTTAAAAACTTCTGTGATAGATAATATGTTGGCTTATTTATGTTATGTTTAGATGTTCTTCAGGATGATAGCTAGTAGGCCATACATTAATCTTGCCCAATCACTTAAATAACCAAGGATATACCTCATCTGGCCTTGCCAATGTCCTATGATCAGATGATACTAATTACCCATCTTAAGTGGTATGATATTTGTCCTTCAGTTATCTTCTAGTACCTCAGAAGTTCACGGCCAGCCATCAATAAAATAGTATGCCATTTTCACCCTTTCTAGAAAACTTTAGAAACTAATCACTACTGTTTAAATAGAAACTTTGGGGTGGAAGTTGATAGATTTAAAAGTAAATAGATAATATTACCTAGGAAAGGGACCTATTGAATTACAGACATCCCTGGAGTGTACTATATACCCAGACCACAGTTAATATTAGATGGTGAGACCAAAGTATGAGTTCTATTTTAAGCTGTTAAATTTCAACATGAAAGTGCCCTTTATTCAGCATAAATATGGCATTCATGAAAGATGAAATACACAAGGTGCCAAAGAGCTGTGGATCCCTCCCAGTATGAGGCAGAGTGGGCAATGTTTGATTTTCACCACCTCTTCCCTCCTTCCAGAAGCAAACAGAACTCTGCCTCGACTCTGACTTTAGATTCCCACCCTTTCCTGTAATAATATTGTACAGTCCACTGTTTGTGCTTTATGAGGTACCAGAATTTTAAAATAACCATTTATTTTAAAGAGGGATTTTCAGATATTCCATTACAAGTTCTCCTGAAACCTAATCATTGCTTTCCTTGTATTCCAGTTGGAACTATTGGCTTTGGTACAAGGATGGGGAAATAAAGGGATATGTGTTACATTTATTTGAAAACATTATCCCTCTATGATTTAAATTTTTTTATAATCTAAGTCTGAATAGTTTAATTATTATATTCTTGGCTAAATTTATAATTTGAGTCTCAAAAAGGCTCTGTTCTTTACAATATTATTAAAATAAGTACATACTGACTGATATGATCAAATAGTTGCTGTGGAAATCTTATAGATTGTCTTACCTAAAAATCAGTTTTGTGTCAATATGTAGTAACTTTTTCACAGCAAATGCCATAATTTAACTGATTTCTTTGTTTTCCACCTAAAGAAAAAATAAGTGGTTCTGTCATTGTGTAAGCAAATTTGTTTCATCTTTGATGTAAATATTCAGGAACCTCAGAATATGGAGCCTAGTACGTAGGTAAAAGGGCTTGTATTATCTTTCATTAAATCGAATCATTAAAAAACCTGTTCAGCCCTTTGACTGAACTCTTTTGCTTTCTTCTTTCACATTTTACATTTTTCCTCACTTTAAGTTTAGATATTGATTTAGTAAAGAGAACGGCATCATGTGTCTAACTGATCCCTTCATTTCAAAGATACCAATTTTGAATTTTACATTTCCAAACTTTTATACATGTGTGTACGTGTGTGTGTGTGTTTTTCCCCTTAAGCTTCGAGCTGGTCCATTTGATGAGTTCCAGATTGCTACCATGCTAAAGGAAATTTTAAAAGGTCTGGACTATCTGCATTCAGAAAAGAAAATTCACCGAGACATAAAAGGTACATAAAAGTCTAATATGAACCTGAGAAAAACAGAAGCATTCCGAGCAAACTGAGGTTTTTCTTTTCTTTTCCCTCCTAGCTGCCAATGTCTTGCTCTCAGAACAAGGAGATGTTAAACTTGCTGATTTTGGAGTTGCTGGCCAGCTGACAGATACACAGATTAAAAGAAATACCTTTGTGGGAACTCCATTTTGGATGGCTCCTGAAGTTATTCAACAGTCAGCTTATGACTCAAAAGTAAAGTATTACCTGCACAAACTGTTTTGAGTTTGTTAATAAATTGTATATGGCACACTATCTTAGTTAATACATTGCCTTATTTTTCCTTGTTTTGCAAGTGTTTCTTAAACTAGAATTACATCTTATTTTGCTGCTTAATCATAAATTTCTTCACTGCCAACTAATATTTGGACCCTATTCACTTCAATGGATTTTCATCCTATGTGGAATAAAATCCTAAGCCCTTTCTGTGACATACAAAGCTGTACACAATCTGGCCATTATCTGCCCCTCCAATCTTATCTCCTACCACTCTCTTGTAGATTATTCTTCATCCACAGTGGCTTCATGGTTGTTCCTCAAACATAGCAAATACACCCTGACCTCAGGACCTTTGTACCTGCCCATCCCTCTGTCTGAAATAACCTTCCTCCCACAATCAGGTCTTTGCTTAAACATCACGTACACAGGGAAGTTTTCCCTAGCCATCCTATGTAAATTTCCAACACCCTTGGCCCCACGATTCATTATTCTCTTACTATGCTTTGTTATTTTCTTTACAGAACTTTTATTTATTTATTTGTCTCTGTTACTAGAATGTAATCCCCTTAAGAGCAGGGATTTTTGCCTGGCTTATTCACCACTGAAATCCTCCATTCCTAGAGAATTCATTATTTTTAAAATATTAACACCACATTTTCTTGAGAGACAAATATTATATGACCATTAGGTTCCACAGGTTATTTTGTGGTAGTATATTGGAATAAAGTTTCAAGGTGAGATATATATATATATATACACACACACACATATATATATATATATATATACACACACACATATATATATATACATATATATATACACACATATATATATATACACATATATATATATATATACACATATATATATATATATATATTTTTTTTTTTTCCTCCTCTTACCTTAGGCTGACATTTGGTCATTGGGAATTACTGCTATTGAACTAGCCAAGGGAGAGCCACCTAACTCCGATATGCATCCAATGAGAGTTCTGTTTCTTATTCCCAAAAACAATCCTCCAACTCTTGTTGGAGAATTTACTAAGTCTTTTAAGGAATTTGTTGATGCTTGCCTGAACAAAGATCCATCATTTGTGAGTATATATTGCTATTATTACTATTTGTTTTCTATTATTAGCTCTACCTGTAGCAAAGGGAGCTTTTCCTGCAGTAGGGAATACAGTGCGTATGAGAAGTGTCTAAGATCCATTCAGGAACTTGGTTTGTCCCTCTGTATTGATATTTCTATTCCATTCTTAATGAGATTCTTCATTCATTTTCTCCTTACCCTTCATTTTTTTCTTGGTCCTCAGCTTCCTCCATATTCTATTGATTATTTTTTATTTCAGGGGGAAATAAATTTGAGAAATAAAGTGAACCTTATATTATGTCATTATTAAAGTGTATATATAAATACAATGATTTGTATTCAACTGTTTTCATTTCTCATGAAAAGTTATGTTTGGGTTTAACTATTTTTTTTTTTTTTTTGAGACAAAGTCTTGCTCTGTTGCCCAGGTTGGAGTGCAGTGGTGCAATCTTGATTCTCCTGCCTCAGCCTCCTGAGAAGCTGGAATTACAGGCTCCTGCTACCACACCTAGGGCTAAGTTTTGTATTTTTGGTAGAGTTGGGTTTTACACCATGTTGGCCAGTCTTGACCTCTAATGATCTGCCCTCCTTGGCCTCCCAAAGTGCTGGGATTACAGGCATGAGCCACTGTGCCTGGCCAGGGCTATTTTTATTTGGCATTTAGAAATTTCAGTGTGAAGTTGTATACTTTTCCCAGGCTAGTGAGCTCCATTCATTTACTTGGCGGATTTGATTACAGTTGTTTTACTGTTGTTGACATAAAACTGCCTTCTGACTTTTAGAGATGAGAAATACAAAAGAGCAGTCCAAACTTGATATAACTATTTTAAAGTTGATGATAAACATTCTGATATTAATAAAATGAAGGCAGGACATCCTCCACAGCACCTGGTGTTTGCATTTAGATGCAATAGAAATTGATGTCTGATGGAGAAGGGATTATAAGATATGTGTAGACAATAACAAAATTACAGCCTTGCAAGTTTTCATCAGTTTTTTTCAAATTTACAGTAAATGTGATTAAAGTATTTTAAAACACTATTTTGAAATGTTTTTAAATGTTCCTTTCTAAATACTGTCATGTGTCTCTCTGCTTTTGAGAAGGCCCTGCCTGACAGTTTGCTGGTGGGTAAGCCACCTGTTGCCCATTGGGCTTTAACAAATTGGGACACCAAAGTAGTAGATTCAATGTGGTTGCCTTGAGCCACTTCAATAATAGAATTAGCTATTTTCTGACAGCATTCTAGTTGTCCTTATGTCTACAGACATACCTTTAGACCTTTCAGCTTAATAATTCAAATGATTTTATTTACCATTCCTTGTAATCATAAGAGTTCAGCAATTGTGACATGCATCCTTGATCTTTTTTCCTTAGCGTCCTACAGCAAAAGAACTTCTGAAACACAAATTCATTGTAAAAAATTCAAAGAAGACTTCTTATCTGACTGAACTGATAGATCGATTTAAGAGATGGAAGGCAGAAGGACACAGTGATGATGAATCTGATTCTGAGGGCTCTGATTCGTATGTACAAATTATTTAATTTTTATGTAGGTAGCCTATTTAAATATTGTATATCTTTTAGATATGATCCAGTGTGCTTGTTTTAGCATAAAATATAAACCATATTTTGAAATTTCACCTTAGAAACTGTGAAAATCTTTTTCAATCACAGTCTGTGGAATACAATGAAGTTGGAAACATGTTTTTCTTGGAAGTGAGTAGCTCTAGTTTTAAATGGTCTTGGTCTAACCCCTAGTGGATACTTGAGTATATTACAAAATTTTGGAACAAGATTCAATTAAAAGTGTTATATCAGTTTGCCCAAAGTAATAAGGAGCTGAGTTTTCTCATACTTTGATGGCAACCTGCAAATCCCTCAAAAGAACTGACCTCCAGGCCTTTCCCACCTCTTGGCCATGTACCAAACCAATACATTTAAATGGTCATTTATGTATGATTTTTATTTCTTGAAAAAGTTGTAGTGTTTTATAACAGCAGCATTTACATTAAATTCAGCCTCATAGTCCTTAAATGAATTTAGGAAAGTGTATATGCTGTGCGAGAATTTAGTCCTCCACCAGCTGAACTGGCACAAAGGCAACAGCAAGTTTCTTTAGGTACTACTCTGAGATTCTTTCATTTATGAGAAATTGTCCAACATTGGAAAGGGATAAAAAATATCAGGATAATCTGTGCCCTATTCTAATGGGTGTTAGCCTTAGCTTCCCATAAGAGTCACCCATGGAACCTTAAAGCAATCACAAGTCACACTACTGGAGATCCTAATTCAATAGGTGGGGAGCAGTGAGGGACAGGTATTTATATATGGTAGGAAGTCTCAACGAAGCACATATGGAGTTGAGAAGCACTCCACTACTGCCATGTAGTAAAATGTAGCATTCACCTGAAGCTGAGATCAGATACTTTTTTGTACTATGAGTTTTTAAACATTAGGACAATTATCCCTTTAAATTCTACCTGCATTTATTTGGTGTTTTTTTTTGCCAAGGTGAATCATTTTGGCACTTATAGAGGTATCTTTGGCAATCTCTTTAGGGAATCTACCAGCAGGGAAAACAATACTCATCCTGAATGGAGCTTTACCACCGTACGAAAGAAGCCTGATCCAAAGAAAGTACAGAATGGAGCAGTATGTATATGGAGAAAATTACTTACTCTTGATGCAGTTTTTCAAACTATGTACTTAGATTATAGTAGCCAAAAATTGTTAGGATTGAATACCCTTAAATGCCTGTCTGCCTCACTGTGTATGTAGTATGATTCATTTGTCACCAGTGTTGAGCTAATTAAGAAAGGGTAATAGGAAGTTATTTAAGTGAGTATGTTGGTATTTTTTTAAGTACATTTCACCTAGAGATACATAAGCCCAGGAATCGTAGGTATCTCTTGTAATCCCAGAAGTTAGAGGACTTCTGGGACTTCCAGATGTTTAATGGGAATGAGTGATAGGAAGAAAGCTTAGAGATTTGCCTTACATAGAGTCTTTTGTTTTCAGTGGGGGATTCAAATTGGTTCATATTTGTTAAAGCATAAGAAAATGAGGACAATTATTTTAAGTTCATGTGCATAATGTATATTATTTATTCAAAGGAGCAAGATCTTGTGCAAACCCTGAGCTGTTTGTCTATGATAATCACACCTGCATTTGCCGAAGTAAGTACAGATTAATTAGCCTTGCATATCTGTTTTAAGTAGTATAATATTTTAAATGTTTTAACTATTAATCATTCTCAGCTTAAACAGCAGGACGAGAATAACGCTAGCAGGAATCAGGCGATTGAAGAACTCGAGAAAAGTATTGCTGTGGCTGAAGCCGCCTGTCCTGGCATCACAGATAAAATGGTGAAGAAACTAATCGAAAAATTTCAAAAGTAAGTTGGAAATATCATTTAAAAAATTATTTTGCATTTTCTGCTGGGTGTCAATTTACGATGCAGTGTAGTTCCCTTGATTCAACCATTCCAATTATTCGTAACAAAGTCGCCTTTTAATACACAGTCGTATTCTTAAAAACAGTTTTTGTTTGTTGCCTATCTTAAACATTAGCTTTCAGAACTATTATCTTTAGGCATAACAAAGTAGTTTTCCACTGCACGAAATGACCTGTCTTTCTTTCTCCTCTAGTAGGAGTATAGACAAAAGGTCACTGAGCATATTCTCATTTGAGCTCTTATAAACGTTATTGGGGTATTATTTCTTTCTTGCCGCTACCCTCAGAATTTAACGAAACACCACTAGTTGCATAGTTCCAGTGCTAAAGTTCCTGCGTTTGACCTCCACATGAGAAGTTAAGGAAAAGGTAGAGGGACTCAATTTAGACCAAGAAAAGGCTCTTATGTTCAACTTCAGATTCTGTGCTGTCTCTTGAAATACTTATTTGATTTTGTTCACGTTGAAAAAAGTTCTTACATTTAATTTTTAAAAAATTTTCAACAAGACTTTTGTATGCATGCATACACATACGCACTCCTTAGCTTGAGCAAGCTATACGGTGATATTAATTTTAGCCTTAATCCTGTTATATCTCTTCTCAGTGCATCTTTATGTATCTTTGTGTTTATGATGCCACTGGGATCGAGTTGGAACAAACTCTGTGACCTATGAAATAACACACTCTCAAAGATCTTTCGATCTGATAAAGCTCACTTGCACTCGCAAACCTAACGCCGCCTTAAAATCCCTTATATTTTAATGAAAACCTCTCATTTGTTTTCCAATTTGTAAACAAATCAATTGGAAGTTATGAAATCAGATGCAGAAAGGATTTTTGAACTTGTTTATATTTTAACATCTACATGATGAAATTCCATGGAAATAATATATCCCCTTTGTGGAATCAGGTTCTTCATTGCAGAGTTCATACAAAGGAGAAATATAAATATGCATAGTTGTACATTGGTTTACATTTTTTTTTTAATTTTACAGGTGTTCAGCAGGCGAATCCCCCTAAGAAACTTATTATTGATGTCTGTTTCATACAGTACCAGAGAGACCCACCAAAACTCCTTCAAGCTTAACAGTGTTTAACTTATGAGCTCTGTGTGCCTTTTGGATCTTTGCAACACTGAAGATTTAGAAGAAGCTATTCAACTATTTTGCGATGGTGTTTATCATTTTATATTTTGAAAGGATTATTTTGTAAGGAATAACTTTTAATACTATAGTTTCACCTGTATTCTAGTAAATGTTGAGACACCGTTTTGCTTTAAGTATCACTATTTCTTAAGTTACTAGGATGAATACCTTTCCTGTTTTGACCTTTAGTTAACTCTACACTCCTGAAACATACAGGTCTTTCAAAGTCATTCTAAATATTCAACTTTTGTAAATTATCAAGCTTCAGGAAGTTTATTCGAAAAAAAGCCATGCATATTCTAAAAATGACTATTGGTGGGGAGGTATAAATAAGTCATACCTTCTTAAAACAAAGTTTTAATAAAGTTTTAGAAATTAAACCTGTAAAAGTATCTTCTTAAAACAAGTTTTTAATAACATCTTAGAAATGAAATCTATAAAAGTCTTGACTCTTCTACCAAGTTGGCATGATATTCCAAAGCTCAATGATAATCATATTTGAGACCGTGTGTTTGAAGCATTTACAGGCAATGTGCAGCAACAGTGGTACCTCTTGGTGTGTAGCATTTACATTCTCTTTTAGGTAGAAGAGGCAATTTTAACCCTTATTTAACATGGTTAGAAATATAAAGCAAACTCATTTAGCCAAGGATAGGTTTGGTAATGTTGGAGGAGTTGGTCTGGCTTCAGGTTTTACATCTTCAACTAATATTCCATACTGTCTACTTGGATTAGAAGAGCCTAAAAATAAAGCTGATTGTCATGTGATTAAATACCTGATCAACAGGTATGAATATAACTTATACCAGCATATTTTTGCCATGATAGCGAATTGTCCTATAAACTATTTATATATTTTTGTTCTTCATAATTATCAGTAATAAGCATAAGTTTGTTGTTTTTAAAAGGATATTTAAGTGGGCATTTTCTAGTTCATATGAAAATAACCGTAGTACAGGATGATTTCTGTCCACACAAAGGCAAGTTAGATTGCACAGTTAATTTTCGCTTGTATTTATGGTACTATTAAGTGGGTGATGACTTTTTCTTTTAAACCCAGTACATATATTATGCCTGCCTAAGTTCTGAACTGGGGCTACATTTCAGTAGTTGTAGAATTATTGATATTAATTAGTTTTGATAGTTAATGTTTTGTTGTTTGGATCTGCACAATTTGGTTTTTGCACAAAAGTCATTTTTTAAAAAATCCGACTAATTGACAAATATTAGAAGAAAGATATTCCTCCTGTAAGGTATAGTTTTTTGTCAAAGTGGCCATTACATCCTCTTTTTACATAATATAGATACTTGAGAAAGTTGTGGTGTTATGTGCCAAGAAAATTCTTTTCATTAGTACCTATACTGTAACAATTGCTTTTAATGCATTGTATTTTGAAGTAATGGTTCAGTTAAAAATTTCACCTGCTGTGTAACTGAAACACAATTATAGATTATAATCTGTAGAAGTCTGGAAATAATTTTGCAACTCATGTCATGGGTTAAATGAATATTTTTGTAAAAGTTAAAGCAACAAATTTATAAATTGATTATTTGAAACTTTACAACACAATTGCATCCCAAATACAAATTGTATTGCTTATTCATTATAGCTTTTAGTCCTGTAAACTGTTTCTAGGTGAAGCATACTCCAGTGTTTTGGGGGTTTTAAAAATAAATATTTAAATTTCACAGTCCTCAATGTTTGTTTTCCTAGAGATGGGGGTGTGGTATGGGGCTTCAATGTTTCAAATTATTTCTCCTTTGTCCTTTATTGTTCGAACATTAAAATAGAAGTTTCTGTTGGAAACCAGAAGATACTCTTCACATTTCATTAAGCATTAATTATAGCTACAGTGAACATCTGTCCTGATTTCTGGGCCTCCTGTCTTGACCAAATTATTAATAAAGTACCCTTTCACTTGAAAGTGTCCTGGGTTGAACAATAAATTATATGGTCACCCTAATTATTATTTTATTAAGAGATCATATACAGATATAAACTTAGTGAAGATTTTTAGAAATTGATAAGAGAAATAGTATTAACATAAAGGAGTTTGAGTTTTTCCTAGAGAAGAGGTTGAGGGTGTACTTAACATGGCATTAAGAATCTATGGTATTAATGTGTCTTAATATATTACTATATTATAATATTCTGATATTATACTATTTTATTAAACCTAGGTGATTGGGTTTCAATATATTATTATTATTAGATAGCTACTCTAGACTTGTGAGTTAATATGAGTCCAGAAGCAGACAAGAAAGTGCTAGGATGGAGGAAAGGGGTGGGATGAGGCATATTAAGAGGGATTTTTCTGATGTAAAGACTAGGAGAGTAAGGAAACTATTCCATCAGTCTTTTCTCCATTAAGTTATATATAAAATTAGCTTGCCTAGAGAATTGCATCCTTTCTTTGAAGTTAGTACTAATATTATCTTGTAAATATGTTGGACTTAAAAAACAAAATGAACATATCAAATAGAATGCTATACCTTCCAGGAGGACCATTAGGGAAATTCTGAATGGTTCAAAAATGGAATATTGTTCATTAACTCACCCTGGTACTAGTGCCATCCTTCTTTTCAGCTACCCTTCAATTCTACTCTTCCTTTCCCTGGCCATACACTTTCACTTGCCTCCCTCCATTTCCTGTTCTGTGACTGTCCCTTTCCTTAGTAATAGGCCAGAATGAATCCCTTCTGAAATTGATTAAAACAAAAGGAAGAACATACTTATAATTTATTTTTTAATTACCTGGATTTTCCATCATGCTTTATTACAAAAACATTTCCTGGTCTGCATACATGCAAGAAGCTATGACAAAAAATAAATTCTGGCAGGAAATATTAGATAAACAATCTGACCTGTTAATGTTTCTCTTTTACTAGATATAGTACATAGTTAAGAATATAGAGGTTACAACTAAAACATCATGATAGGCTTATCAGGTATACGTGTGGCTTTAGAAATGGATTTAATTCATGAATTTCCTAGGTTTAGAATTCTGCCGAGTCCTAGATTAATTCTAAATGTGTATTCTGTTGAGAGGATCTACGCCACCACCTTGTTCCTGAGGCTGTAGGAGGGCCATGCTCCCCTCATATATGTTATAAAAATGGAAGTCTTTAACATATAACAAGACCATTTCTACTGGGCCCCACACAAATAGTAAAGACTGAAATATTCATTCAGTGTTGTTTAAGAACACTAAGATCAATACAGTCATAACCTACTAAATCACTAAATGTCATTAGAAGCCAATTTCTTATGCCAAGCCATACTGTTACCATTCTTCAGCATTGAAGAGCCTAGCATTCACTCACTATCTCTTTGAGGAAATGTGCAGTGGAAATGACAAATACCCACCTCACCTTGCCACAGTACTGGTGATGAAAGGGGATGTTCTAGAGACCCTTCAGAGTAATGAGTAAAACTCAAGGAATGAGGCAGCATCTGGACCTTTCATAAAGTAGGTGTCCAAAATAAGATTTCCTTAATAACAATGAATACGTAGTAACCAAGGAAATGGTTTCTACAAGTTTCATTATTTTCTGCCTAAGTTGGTAACATGGAATTGGCTCAGAAATGTCCATAGGGTTCACACTTTTAAGCTAAAAAGTAATTACATGGTTTTAGCAAGGTCCTGTCTTCAGGAGTTGGTGTGTTGAAAGAAGCATCTTCATCTTCTTCATCTAACTGTAGACTACCAGAAGACAAGCGGATTCTGGCCATGGGTGACCTTATTCCTTTGCCATAGAAAGCATAGTAGTCTGGCCTAAGAATCTCTGATTCAGAATCACTGGATTCACTAGCTACATACCTTTCTGCTGTACTCTGATCCATTAGAACTGCTGGCAACTCCTGCTCTGCAAACATATAAGTAAACAAGTCTGCTTTACGACTAAGAGCAGGACAAGGCCCTAAAGGTCTAAATTCTGACCCAAAAGGAAAACGAATAGTTTTCATGTCTGACTGGCTCTGGGACCGTTTAGGGGTTTGCTCTTGAATGTTATATGCAAATACATGTTCCAAATTTGGGTCTTCCTCTTCTAGACCTACATTAATGTTGCTCCTACCACTGGTCCTGGCTATATCTTCTTGGAGTCCTTGCAGGTCTTGCTGAAAGCTCTTCATTCTAATATTCCTTGGGCTTCTTTTGGCTGGCTTCATTGCAGTGGGCTCTAGATAGCTATCTGGACTTGTCCTTTCCTCTGCTATGATCGGGGACTGTCTGGGCACCTGGGGTGGCTTGTCCACATAAAAAAAGACCTGAGGAGTCATAATACCAACCTGCTGACCTGCACAAGGAATATAGGGCACATCTGTGTAAGTTAGCTGATGTGCTGGACTCACTTTGCTTGTGAGGCCAGAAGATGTGCTCATGTGATTATCAGCAAACTTACAGCTTGTTTGGAAGGAGCTTAGAGGACTCCTCTCCGAAAAGAAGTCTCTGGGATCAGGGTTAGGACTGGGCTCAGTGTTAAAGACAGGGTCTGTATAAATAAAAGGGAAAGAGGAACTGCTTTGGGACTGATGTAGCAATGTGGGATCCGCCTCTGGTTTGGAACACTCCAACTCAGCTGCAAATGTCACCTCCACTGCAGAGTTCCTCCTCCTGCTGTCCAGCACCGGCTCAGATGCATGCACTCTATTCACATTTTGGTAGTACCCACCGTCATATGCTAGTCTCAAATCTTCCACCTTGAGAGAAAGGACACAATGGTGAAAGAAGAAAAAGGCCATTTGGTTGGGGATGGGGGAGGGATCTAAATTAGCCTCAAAGTTTGAAAGGTCATTTATGAATTTCATAAAGTGATTTAACAAGATCTATGTTCTATTCTGGGGTAGACAAATAAATAAAGCAAGGGTAATAACTTGTACCATCCCAGTGCATGTGTTAAAAAGCACATGTGACACTATTCTTTCTCAATGCCATCCTACCGCCTGACTCTGAGTGTATACGGTACAAGCAATTTGGTTTAATAGCTATATTAATGAACCAGGAGTCCTGCCTGTTAGTACTGGCTCTGTCTCTGATTTGCTGTGTGACCTTAAACAAGTCTCCTAACCTTACTATTCCAGCCTCCTCCCTATTTTCTGTAAAATGGTGGGAGGAGGGCTATGAGTGGTATAAGAGGTTCATATACTAAATGGCCCCTTTCATCATTATGCCTCTGATGCCTTTTGGATAAAAACTGCCAGTGGCTTGAAGGCATGAGAGTTTATGAGACCTATAATTATTTTTTTAGGGAGAGTAAAAGAAAAATACTTCACAATTTTCATACTAAAAATGTCAAAGGAAGCCATCGTCTCACAGTTCCAGGGGAACAACACTTCGTCCTTAAGCTACAAAATTACACAGCAAAAATACTCTAAAACCTTAACCCGAGACCTTATACCTTCCTTTAAGCCTTAAGATTTTCATAGGTAAAAAGATGGAGCTTTAAGTTGTGAAAATTTATAGCCATAGAATTCATTTGGATCTTTATTTTACAAGATGTTAGCAACACAAGTTGCAATTTGAAGATGTGCCAGATCCCTCCAGTCTGTAAGGTACATACCAGTGGTAGTTTACTAAATGGTCTTCTATTGGCAGGAAAGACTGAGCTGACAGACCTGCCCAGGAAGCTAAACTACCTGAACAGAATAACCTTTTTACACACTGGGATTCTGGCAGAATCCATCTTTGGAAGCATTTGAAATTTGCACAAATTACGTTTACCTAAAGAAGTAGACATTTTCAGAAACCTTACTTGTTTTGACACATCAGAGAGGAGGTCTGGTGAGGACCTGCACTGTCGTTCATGGTACTGAGATGGGTAATGTTTCCTGAAATCCCCAAGCAGAGACGTCATTGAAATGGCCTTCATGTGAATACCAGGATACATAGAAATCTCTAAATTTGACATAAAATCAACATGAACAAGAGAAACAAAAACATGTACCTTTCAAATGGCAAACTCTTCAGCCTCCCTTTTTTCCCATATTCCAAAAGTTGCCTTTGGGTTCTTCCACTATCATAGGGACAATAAAAATCCTTAGTTCTAGTCATAAACCAATAGGCTACTAAAACTTGAAAGCCTCATTTATTGTTGAAATCAAAAGACTTTGGATGAATGACATATGTCACGAATCTTTGACCATCACATTAATGATAATACCCACTTATTCAAGGACCAGGCAGAGAACAACCTCAACTACTCAGAACACAGATATTTTTTAAAAACCTCTGAACAGGGTTATATAACAGCTAAAACTTCTGCACTTTAAAAATAATATACTTGGTCTGGGCAAGATGGATCACACCTTTATCCCAACACTTTGGGAGGCTGAGGAAGGAGGATGACTTGAGCCCAGGAGTTTGAGACCAGCCTGGGCAACAGTGAGACCTCATCTCTACAAAAATAATAAAAATTACCTGGGCATGGTAGTGCATGCCTGCAGTCTCAACTTCCTGGGAGGCTGAGGTGGGAGGATTGCTTGAGCCCAGGAGGTCAAGGCTGCAGTGAGCCAAGGTCATACCACTGCACTCCCAGCCTGGGTAACACAGCAAGACTCTGTCTCAAATAATAACAACAATATATTTTCCTTTAAAGGCTTTTCCTCTACCTCTAAATCAGAGTCAACTGAGTGATATTCCGTACTACTTTGAATGAGGTTACGTATCTGGTTTCTCAATCCACAGCAGAAGAA